CCTCTTCGTAAAGAAATGATCATATGGCGTATGAAAATTCTAACGCTTGATCTTGTCTTGTTTAACATGAGGTACGAGAAATATAAAGCCCAAAGTATGTGGACTCTACAAATATATGTACTGCAATAGTTCGTAAAGCGTTTTCGTCATCAGTTAAAGACGATGAGCAAGTACAAATCGTGCTGTACTCGTTAGTGTCTAAAAATATCTACATACTGTGCATAATGTAGCTAATTGTAAAGGTCTGCGTATAATGAATTATAATTGAACTTAAATTGAAACGTAGCATAGGAGCAAAACGTAAAATGTAATGTAAATATTGTCTAAAATACTGAGAGTATAATATACAAATAAAATAACGAGTGAGAAAGAAAAAAAAAGCAAATGGCAAACAGCGTATATCAATATGATATCAAAAGGAGAAACACAAAAAAGAAAATGTTTGACGAATCGCCCAGGATCAACGTCAGGCGACACTGCGTTTATGGAAAAAATGGCACATTTATTATAGTGTGATAGTAATATTACTAATGATATAATTACATATTTTTTTTTCTTTCTCAATCGATACATTTGTTCACTCTCTCACATTCTCTCTCTCTCTCTCTCTCTCTCTCTCTCTTCCTCTCTCTCGCACTCTCTCATTTATTCTCTTTCTCTTTCTTGTTAAGAGAAGAGTTTATATATTTATATATTCATCTCGTACTTCATAGTACTTAATATTAATAGTCGCATTCTTCTTAATCGCATGTCTAGAGTCGAAAAGATCGGTTTCAATATCCTTCAGGCCCATTCACACAAACTGTCTACAACTCGCTTACGCATTAATTTTTTTTTATTACATATTATACAATATTATATATCTAATATAGTTACACCTTACATGATATGATAATTATCAATTCGCAATTGTACCAATAAAACTAAACTCTTATACAATTAAACTGCAACAAATAATTCTCATCGTTACTTACGCTTAACAATAATCATAAGTTGATGCCTTATCGGAATTTATCAATCAATTCGTTATATCAAATGAAAATGCGGTGCTCTATATTTTCGATATGCCCATATTCGAAAATAACGCCATTATTAAGAGCATAATTATTTCGTTTCATGTACAAAGGTCTGTGTGAAGGAGCCTTTATGGTCGATGATTTGAACTCCGAACTCCCTCTCCCCATCCCCGTGTAGACGTTGTCTTCGCTCTTCATTTTCACTTTGACTATCTACGACTATCGACAAGTGTCTAGCTTAGACTGGCTTACGAGCTATTTATTGTCGTTATTATTTTACATGATTACCTTCGCGAATACAAGTGTGTGATCGTGTATTTTAGTATCTGTGAGCGGCTCTTTCTGCAATTTATCGCAATGTACAATTATCGTTACGTTTTCTTTTCCCTTTTTCTCTTTTTATTAAGTATGGTTTTATAAAGCGTCGCATCGAAGCAACGGAGCATGATTAATGATTATTAATTAAACGTGGAGCGAGGTTGTGCGAGTTCTTGTCGATCAGATTTCCTAATCTATGGATCCTGATCGAGAACAAAAGTGATTTTACGATAAGTACTTTCTAGAAAATATTTAAACGATCTTATATTTTATTAAAAAATCAATATTGGAACAATCTTATTAATTCTTCTCTCATATGCTATCGTTGACTGATTTGAAAACATCGGAAAATAAAAATATATCTACAATGTCGATATTGTATCAAATATTACGTTAGAATATTAATAGTATTTCTTAGCCGTCTGTAATAATCGCATTTTTACTTGCAATAATAATTTTTATTTTACATTTCCACATTTGTGTACGTTTAACTGTTACTTCATAAAAATTTTTCAACATATTATATAAATGAGGCAAACATTTAATCGTTAAAATTGAAAGTCCTGTAGATACCTATTATGCAGGAAAGTGAAATCCACTTATACATTTGATCTTAAACGAAATTCCGAATACACGGCATATCATCGCTTAAGATAATTATATAATTTTATATTATATATAATTTCGTAAAAGGTTTGTAATGATAAAATTGTGTAAGTCAGAAAAACATGATCATACGAAAATGATAGAGCGAAAAGACTACTTACAAATTAATTTAAATGGTCATTTAAAAATATCATATTTAAAGATTAATCAAAAAAGATAATATTTTGCATATAACTACAAATATACATGATATGTTTGACATATTCTTTGTTTTGATATGAATTTAGCTTTTTACATAAAGAAAAAGATTCGTCATAGAAACCGAACAGAAATGTATAACAATTGTATAATCTTCTGTTCAAACATGGAATTCTTTTTTTGAAGTACTTTTATATTTTTGAAGAAAAATATAGCTACGCATGTACATTGTGTAATAGAATATTTTCGACAGATGAATAAAAAAGGAAAAAGAAAATAGAGCAGAAAAGAGGCGAAGTAAACACGGACACATTCAATGCATTTTCGCTTGGTTTTTCATTTTTTCAATAAAATTTATTTAAGAATTTAAATATAAATTAAAGTACATGGCAACTAGATACAGATACGCTTGAGCTATATTTTTGTTCAAAAGTAATGTCCCGTTCTTTTTTTCCCTCATAAACGATCTCATTGGCGGTAATTAATTGGTAAAATAATAATAATAATAATAATTAATAATAATTAATCATGATTATGATTAGGATTGGTTTGTCTCTTTTCATACTTGTGCGAGTTGAATTATGTTCGTAACGATCTTAAGCACGTCTTATGAAGCTTATTTATTCCGCGTTTGTTTCATCTATATTCCACTCGCGTACATATAAGTACAGAAATTTTGCCCAAATGATCAATGGCAAAGATAGCGCAGGAAGAGGAGCACCTCAAAAGGCCCGAAAAGGTCCAGAATGAGTCAACAATACACCAAAACCAGAATGCCATTTGTAAATCTTTTATCTCCAGCAACATCGAGAATGAAAACTATTGCATAATGCAAAGTGCATCCTTTGACATATGTTATCATATATCCTGATAAGGACGTATTTCACACTAGGTATTATATTTTTCGCAATGCTCATTTGGCATATATAAATGTATCCCAATTCTTGCTAATGATATATTGCAATGCATTCATTATAACAAATTGCTGTGAAAATAAAGCGTACAATCTGGATAATTTTGGATTTTTTAGATTTTCCTTTCTTTCTGCATATTTTTACTATTTAATGTTTTTCTCATACTTTTGGTTGTATTATATACTTGAAATAATCCATTCCATTTTAATTTGTAACTTTTTGTATCGAAAAATACATAATAAAAGACATATAATTAGTAAAAATGATTAATATATAATTCAAGAGTGTTCTAAAATGACTTCTTAAATTAAAAATCCATTATTCTTAAATTAAAGGTCATCCGAACGATCATAAAATAATTAACAAATTATTCATTGAAATGCGCGAATGTTACTTCTTATAATGTTATTCCTTATAAAGTACGCTTTCGATTTTGGATACGGATCGTTCACGCTATTTTTTCCTATAGTTATTATAGAAATATTTTATACAATTCAAAAAAATTAAAATGGCTTATCAGTAAAAAATAATCTGCATGTAATAGCGGGATATATAAATTACATTTAATATAAACTATATATAATTGAATGCTTTAATAGTATCCAGCTTGATGTTAAAATCAAGAGAATTCTAAATGGCACTTAAATGGCATACGTGATCAAATTCTAATCATAAAACACTTGAACAATAATAAAATAAATACATGTTGATAACTTTATTAAGTAAAGTATCTTTGCAGCATATTTTTTCATATTTTTTTCATATTTTTTTCAGATAGTAATGATATTGACGTTAAAAGTTAGAGTATTTTATGTAACGCGATGTCATAAGAAATATTCGTTATTATTTGAAAATTGCAGCTTTTTTTTTAATTGGACACAATACTTACAATCGAAAAAAATATCTATATATTCTAAATCCAGAAATATAGCATACATGTAATATCATATATGTTATGATTCAGTATCTTTTTTTTTATCTTAAAAACGAGTTTTTTTAAATTAAATAACATAAGAAATGGAAAAAAAACTTGTTTTCTTTATTTTAATAGAATTATTTTAATAGAATTGTAGGTGTCAAGAAAGAAGCTGCAAGTATCGGAATGTGATTTTCTTATCACATCGCGAATTATGATAGTTGCAAGATAGTATTTTTCGCGAACGTGAACGAACCGCTACATCTTCAATATTAACATTCTGTACGCTCGTAAACAATAGTCGTTATATACAGGATTGCCAACGTCTAATGATTAATATAAAGGCAACATAATCTATGTTATTTACATTGGTATAACAAGTTATATTCAATAAAAAATAAATAAATCTTGCAAGAAATTTTCAATCATCGGAATTTGCCGATTTCGTCAATTTAGATAATGGAAAAGTACATCTAATTTCTCTAATCAAGTCGGAAATATGTTGCCTTTATTTTTATCTTTAGTCAGTGACTCTGTTTTCCGCCAACTCGAGTTCTCTTCCTACCTATTGCGCATTAACGTAAACGGTAGTGTATACACAGAAATGGGCAATTTAACATGAGTCAGCAGCGAAGTCCGACCGTTAATAAACTTTCGATCGTACTACATTATATATCTCGAAAGAGAGGAACCATATTCCTTTGTGTTTTTTTCTTTCCGCTATTTATAAAAATAATTTGAAGCCGTCTTGAGGGGGTAGATGCTTCTTAAAACTACTTGCACTATGCTTGTGTGAGCATACAACGTTTCTTATTAACTGCATATTATAGAAGTGCTGGCGAAAAAATTATGATTATTCTTATGTACCGCTTTTGCAAATAATACTGAAATATATATTGTAAAATAATTTTAAAGCAATTAAGATTTTATGGAAGGAATTATATAATCATAATAATAACTTAAAAAATATATTATATATATTAACATATATTAAGTAATAAAGATATTAAAAATATACAATATAGTGCGATTTTTTATATTCTCTTCTTCTATTCTTTTTTTTCTATCATGCAGCACATCACAATATTCACAATTTTTTGCACACTCCTACAATTTATGTGAGAGCAGAAAAAATTTTTTCTATATGGATATGCAAGTCATATTCGTAAATTTGTTATCGATTTTAAGATGTATCTACCCCTTAACACAGAATGATACCGCCACTGAGCCGCTGCTACTGCGGTTGTGATGGATTGTGCTGAAGGGAAGGTTGTGGACCCTGAAAGAAAGGTTTATATTTAAATAATATACATCTTTTTAAATTATACATCTTTAAGCGTATATATATACACACACACACAATGAATTGTACTTTAACGAAATCTTACAGGTAATGTGGGGAAGGGTGGTTGGGAGTGTGCATGTGGATGAGAATGCGGGTGTGCTATGTGCGCTGCAAGATGGCCTGGTAACTTAGGGCCATCCTCGGCTTTTTCCTCCTCTCTTCTTTTTAAGCACGCAGCTTTCGGATTAAGGTTCCGTTCTGAACAAAGAAAGAATATATTAAATACGCGAGTATTAATACATATTGATACGATACAACAACTAACAGTAAGTATATTTGACACACGTACCTCTAACTTGTTGCTCGAGTGTCATTATAACTTCAACAGCCATGTTGAGAATACCAAGCTTCGTTTGAGGTTTATCTGTCTTTAGATGCGTCATACACATTCTACCAAGTTCTTTTAGAGCTTCATTGATATCTCTGATACGTATCCTATTGTAAAAAATAAAATTTATACATTATAATATTTGAGTTTTTTAAAAAATATTTATTAATTTTGTTAGAATGTGTTGGAGAATAGGATAAATTTGTACTTTTTTAATAATGTTACATTTTTTTACATCATGTGTACTTACACATTCATTGTGCACATTAAGCTTTCAAAAATATTCTTCTCATATATTTTTATAATAAAAAATGTTAATATAATGCAAGTTTTAAAGAAGTATAACTGTGCAATATTATACATTTATTATAATTTTTGATCGATAAAAATGTAATTATGTAAGCATGCGCGACAAGTAGAAATTACATCACACATACACACACACACACACACACACACATATATATATACACACACACTTAGAGTAAGTCATATAACTATTAACAATGTAATATGTCAAGAACTGCGCTATCAATTTTAATTATTCAAATTCTGGTTTCAAATTTCAGATTACAAGGGTTTAAATCTATATCAATTGATCCTTTTGTCTAAAACATTTTTTTAAAAAGTCCTTTAAAAGTTACAACTATTTAAAATCCGAATTTGATTAAGTCGGGATTAACTAAAAATAAACGCAAAATAATATTATGTAATTCAATTTATTAAAGGTTATTTATATGAATATTATTTATTTATAAATATAATGAAACGTAAACTTAGCCATTTGTCATTTTTTCGATCCACATCTTGAGTTGAAGATAATTTTATTCTTAGAATAGAATGTTTATATGTAAATAGTTAACATTCTGAGTATTTAATAAATTAAATTACGTAATATTATTTTGCGTTTTACCTTTATTTTTGATCAATGCTGATTTAATCAACTCATCTAATTTTCAAATATTTATAACTTTTAAAGAAATGATTTTAAGAAAAATGTTTTTTAACAAAAATTGTTCGTTTTTAATGTGGGTTACAAAAATGATTTTGCATAAGCACCTATTTAAAATTTTAAAGTTACCCCCACTTTACTTTCTAGGAAGCTCTAAATTTTAAGATAAATTTAAAATTTAAAGATGATGATGTATGAAATTCGAAACTGAGACGATTAAAATTGATCGCGTAGTTCTTGAGATATTAAATTGTTAATTATATAAGACATAATATATATATTGTAAAATAATACAAAAAAAAATCGTACCATTTATTTTCGTCAGAATTTTAAAATTCATATCGTATCATTATGTCACGTATGCATAGAATACGGGCCGTTGTTACTACTGACTTATATCAGAACTGATCACATTACTATGGACCAACTAAAATCTAATTTTTACGTTCACTGCGCATATCATTGATCTTACCTTTCCCTAGCGTTATTTGCTTGCCGCCTCTCTTTCTCTCTTTGTGCCTTCATGTCGGGATCATCATCCTCGTCCTCGGCGCTCGAACAACAGTTGCGCAATAACAATACGCAATTAATCACCTAGTTTATTTCATAACTTACTCTCTAGCCTATATACTTAAGTTGCTTGACAGCAATTGAATTATTAATATAAGTAATACAGTCGCAATTTGTGATAAAATTTGCTTTCGACTTGCTGACATCTAATTATCTAGGTGTTGTTCGAGCGAATTTCGTATATTTTTTTTTCCATGTAATAAATAAGCGATATGATAATGAACACACGCAGGTAGTTTCACAATTTTGAAATCGTGGAGTAAGTAGGTAGAATTTAAAGGCCCGTATTCTTTGCATAGAACAATCAATGATGAATAATCACGTCAATCAAAGGACAATGATCGTGGAGTGAAAAATGCAGATCTTCTATTTTGATGCTGTTACCTAGAAAATTCAGAATGCATACGACATCTATAATTGTAACAGTATAGGATTACAGAAAGGTGTAATGACAAAATAATACAAAAATAAAGCAGCCGAATAACATAATCAAAGATATATTGTTAACGTTAAAATAGATATTTAATTGTATGTGCTATTGACAAAAAGTGTCTAAATGTAATCAATTTTTATTTAAAAAAACATGACAATTATAATAATGTTTATATGTTTTTAAGTAATACGAGCAATGTAAATGATCTTTTAACCAACATATAAGTGATTTTTCAGGTTACAAATATGACATATTTTTTACTTGAAGAAAATATAATAGAAATAACGAAAATGTGCGATGATTGAGAAAGAAATCTAGAACTGAGAAATTCTTAATGCAACGTTCAGTAATGCAGAATAAGTGCGGTTCTAAACGAAATAGCATGCCTAGGGACCGAATCGCAGCTGAATTAAAATGAGACTGATTTGTAGGTACGCACGAGAGAGCTGTTAACAGATTTTATCTTGTCTCATCTCATTCTTGTCCTTTTAACCAGAAACATTTTAATTTTCACGCCTGAATACGGGCCTTATGTACAGTGCAACGTATATGAAGGAAGCTTCGGATTGCGGAACCCTTGGTGTCGTAACAAAGCCGTAAACATGCCATTTTCGATAGTGAATCATGAAATTTATTAAATCTCGCAATTTATCGTTCATCACAAGTAACATCTCGTTTAGGCATGCATACGACTAAGTAAAGGGACTCTCTCCGAGAGAATGTGCAGCGGAGTTTCTTCGTACCTTACATTCGGCGGTAGAGATATACACACGTATCGCTCACGTCGTAAGCGACATATACGTATATCGGGATACGGGAACAAGAAGAATGGGAGAAACAGGAATTGTTTTTGTATATCAAGATGCAACGAAGTGCGTACTGCGTGTGTTCACTAACCTTTCACGCACGTTGTTGGCCTGGCGACGTTCTTTCTCGCGCACCGCTTTAGTACCAGGATCTTCGCAGTCTTCGTCAGCGCTCGAACAACGGTTATTCAAAGACACAGCAAGTTAATTCAAGAGAAAATTTTTGAAAATCGAATGTATAAGAATTTCCAAGTCATTTAATTGCGAAAGATCGTTCTTCGTATAAAGAATAAATTCGAATTAATAATGTATCAAATACGTTTTTTTTACATCTTGAAATTTCTCAAATGAAATATGGCACATATTGATGTCGCGAGTAGCTGTAATTTTTTTCAAATTCTACCACTTTCGCTCCTCATATCTATCCTTTGATGAAGGAACTTTTTATCGTTACTATCTTAATGTCTCGAAAAATTTTCCAAATACTTACTATCTGCGGGATCTCTTTGTCGCTTTCCCCTGCGACGTCGAATTGACCGTAGCAGCCCCGATTACACCTGCTGCAAGTTCGCTGCTCGATGGTTTCGTCTCACCACCGCTACTATCGGGCGGATCTTTCCTCTTTTCTAAGGAGATGTATTCTGCTCATTATTAATACTGCCGCATAGTTTTCACGAGACAATTGCATAGCTATATTATGTACATATAATTTACGAAATAGAAAAAAATAAATTAAATACACGTCAGTCCAGATTTGTTATAAAAAATGATTTTTTTCGTTTTTTTTTTTTAAACAGTGACTAGAAGCGAAACATATTTCAAAAAGTTTCTAGGCATATTATTCGACGGCAACTTTATTCGCGTATTATCTGATGCAGCTGAGGAAAAATGTCGCAGGCTACCCGGAAAAGGAGAAAGAATAAACGCGACCGACCTTCGCCGAAAACGGCGATCACGATCTTCGATTCTCCCTGAGCTTTAGGCAGCAGGCCTTAGTCACGAAACCGTGAAAAGCGTCCAATTAGGAGCAGGAAGCGCACTTTACGGGATTTCGCTCAACTCTGATTCAGCCGATCTCCTTAAACGCTCTCTTGTCTGACAATTCACCGCGAGAGTATTAAATCGCGTAACGTATATGTCGCGAGTGTATCTCTTTAAAAAAAAGTTTCCGAGAGATAATCGCGGCGAATAAATCATGCGTACAATTGAATACAAAAATATGCAATCATTTTTATTTAACGGAAACTTAAAAATATTTGCGCAATTTATCGTATTTCCTGATGTGAAAGATTTTGGATTATTCAGCTCTCGATACATGAATTTTCACAGAAATTATTTATTCCCACGCATACAAAGCGCATAAACAGTTTCCAAGTCCACGTGAATGTTTTGCGTTCCTTCGAAACGGAGGCTCTCCTAATTCGTAGTAAAAGAATTCCAAATGTTCTCCGCGTCGACATAATGGCACTAATGGTAAGAAACTGAAAGAGACAGAGACCCGGCGAGGCGGAAAGAGAAACGAAGAGCTAGATAACCGAATGTATTCGCGGGAATAATGTAAGCACGACCGCCGGACAGCAAAGACTTCGCGTGATTTATCTAATATTTCCTTATTCGGTCGCGCGACTCCGTTACGGAACACCTGGGAGCTCCTTCCCTTTTTCCTCTCCCTCGTAGTGTACTCATGGGAAAAGTGATCGCTCGATGATGCGATGACGCGAAAATAGAATGGCATGTGATCAAAGTGTCGCCATAATTATCTGATTTATCAATTTGTTTTTCTACAAAAATTTCTAAACCACTCAATCTTGACGTGTCAGTAGATACGGTTTAAATAGAAAAGAAGTAAACCAAGTCAACTTTTTTTTCCATGTCGTAAATTATATCGCATTTCGAATATCACTTCAGGTTCAACTTACTGGCATTCGTCACAGGTAACCTTTCTATTTTAATGGAACCATCTGTATCGGGCGTGGGGGTAAGACCGGGGTAGGAACCCTGAGGTTGCGTTACCGTTACCGCAGGATGTGGACTCGTCTGAAAAATACATTGTGTATCACAGCAAGAACCAAGAGAAGGATTTGTTTCGATGTTCGTTTTACGGCAATTATCGAAAATTTATTTTCTTACCAGATGGTCCAGCTGCGGTGGTGAGGTATGCGAGTATATCCCGCCGTGTGGACCAACCGGGCCAAGGTGGAGGCCCACTTGACTCTCGGCATGATTCCTCAGAACGTTTATGGCATCGTCTAGCCGTTCCTCCATCCGTGTCCCCTGTACCAACAGAATACCGAAGATTCGACTCGATTACGCGCCAGTAGTTCAAGATTATGTCTGACTCGTTAAACATTATTTGAGAATACTATAGCAAAAGATTACAGACGCGCTTGTGTGTCTTTTTATTATAATTTACGTAAAGTTGATTTTAGAAAAGTTCCACACAAGTAAAAGAGAAAGAAAGTTGAAATCAAAATTGAAATCCTTCATTACATTTCTGATTGATTCACGATAGAAAGAAAATTAATTCGGAAAAAAGGCAGAGATACTAGAAAGGAAGTCAGCTCGATCGATTAGACTGCGATTAAAAAGTTTAACGAGACTTGTTTAATGCCGACTTTACTTTATCGAAACGCGAATGTGTTAATAACAGTTCAAGCTATGATTATAAATTGTGTACAATAAAGTCTTTATCACAATATATAATCATAATTATTCGAAAGCGTAATCAGCAAAAGTGCAATGGACACGTTCTAGCGTTCGTCTCGTGGGGCCACGGCGTGAAGACAACATGCGTAAAAGAATATGAGAAAAAAATGAGCGAATGAAGAAGGGAAAAGAAAAACTGAAATTCGGCAATCCTCACCTCGGCATGGTCGCGAAGGAAGCCGATGGCATCGTCTAGCCTCTGCTGTTCAGGCGCCGGCTTCACACACAACACCAACGCAACAACAAAACCAAAAAAAAAAAAGAACAACCAAGTCAACACAACGTTCACAACAAACAGGACGGAATGAACAAAAATGTGTCAAATGAACACGATAACTTAATAATTCTTATATAGAGCCGGGGGGGCGGGGGGGGGGGGGATATAAAATATAGATAGCCGCTCGCGCGTGAGTAAAGCATACAAACGATGATTTCTCGGTGCGACGCAATCATGCTATTTGTGCGACTTCAGTGCTACAATGATGTGCCACAAGAGCGATTGTAATTCTTTATACAAATGTATTTAAATGTGATATGATAGAAGAGAGAAAGTAATATTTGATTCTTTTATATCCGTACGTAATGATTTTCCCGCTTGATCTTCTTTTCCTCCTTTCCCAGAAAAAAAGTAAGAATTATGCGTGCTCTATTAATTGCAAAATATTATTGGAAAAATGGTGACTGATATTCGAGCACTCGTGTAAAGTGAATTGTCGTATGTGTATTTCTAAAGTGACCAAAACTTGTGATAGCTTGTCTCATGAATCATTCAACGATATCATTATAATTATATATGTCAGCATATGTCGTGTGTCTTACAAAAGTGATAGAGAAGTCAGCAAGATTTAAATAACATGAAAGGGAATAACGGTGCAAAGATTTCATCGACTGTCTGTTTGTAAGATTCTCCGTAATTAGTAGAAAAATTCAGACAGTAACTTTCATACGTACCATGTGAATACCACGATTTGGATCCGCTGTAAAATGCGGAGACACTGGCGCGGCTCCAGGTGCCCAGCCTGGTGCCGAGCCGGTTAAAGGTGGCGGTGAACTGACGGGCGTAGATGGATTACTGCTATAACTGGATACTGATTGGTCCGTGGGAAAAATCTGTGAAAAACGTCGCAGCTCATGTATAAACATTAAGTTCCAAATTCTCCAATAATTCTTCAATACAATAAACATTGTATCGAATTGAATTATTGATTATCAAAATGCATGCTTCAGCGTCTAAATTATCGAAATTACCCAATCAATCGTCTCATTTAACGAGACAAAAATATAATACATTGTTTCATATAAAGCATTATTTTTCTTTCTTCATTCCATTAAAGATCGAAAGAAGTTTATGCTACAAGTATAAACAATTGATGAATTTTAGAATTTTTTTAAAGAGTATTACAAACTAATTGTTTTGTTGTTTTACATACATTTTTATTGATGTTTAAACAGTACGTCAATATTTTTTAATCTTGGACATTTAGCTTTTTTATATTCAATGCAAGCGTAGCAAGAGCTGTAATTATATAAAATAAAAAAAGGTTTACTTTTATTGATCCTAATTAGATTTTAGAAAATTAATATTTGATATATTTTTAATCCTCAAGAAATGAAAAAATATCTAATTTTTAAACATTATTTTGTTACTTACCAAAAAATTCTTTTTCATAAAATATAAAAAAGAATTTTTTGGTAAGTAAAATTAGATCCAATATTACAAAAATATATGGACTAAAACTATTAGACCGATTTTTTCATTTTAGATAATTATACGCGAGGAGTAACATGTCAAACGTGCAGAGGCTGAATAAAAAAAGCTAAATATCCCAATAAGATATAAAAAACCGTTCTATTGAAAAATCGATAAAAAAATCAAAAGATCAATTTCTGATATTTTTGAAAAAAAATTCTTAAAAATCATCAACACCGCTCTCTAGAGCAGATCGGTCCTTAAATACTCTTTTTAACAAGATTCTCGACAAGACGTACTCGGTTGCTTACGACCGATGCGAGGGTCTTGCCGAGGGTGTCGTCCGTGGTAGATTGCTGGTTCGTCGTGGGCGCAGCATTGGGCGCGGAGGGCGCGGTCGTCGGTGCACCAGGACTATGGCTATATTGCAACGATGCCGGGGACGGCGCCCCTGTGCCGCTGTTCGCCGCGACCGCGGCGCTACCCCGGAATGTCGACATCGGCGGCAGGGAAGCCGCACTGGTCACCGCCGAGCCCAGGATCGGCGCTGCAGATTCACCGTTCGGCGACATCGCCGAGTATGCCTGAAACCGCCGAGCGCAAATGGTTCGACGCTTGGTTCTTGCGGCTAAGTGTGTCACGTGTTTTGGTGAAACGTACATGCTTACGTCTTCGGTAATTAATTGTCGAATTTGCGTGTTCTCGGTATCTCTGTCTTCGTCGTCGGAAACTTAGTAACTCGACGACTTGTGAGACAAGACGATACCGACTGTCGACGTGTTAACGATTTATTTCGCGCAACAGTGTTATCTTAGTCTTCGCCTTCGTTTTAATGTCGGAAAGATGTTGGTAAGGTGTTCGGGAATTTCAAAGGGAATGCCTCCTCCAAGAGCGAACGAGCGAAACCCAGTTTGATTTATCTCTCGTGTAGCTACAAACGATAAAGATCCCCGTAACAAGAAGACTCGAATGATTTCGAAAAACTAGGCGACGCTCGACGATTTCTTCAAACGTGTCTCTCTCTCTCTTTCTTTTTCCTCCCTCTGATCACAATGGATCACTCCAGCTTTGATATCGGATACGTCGAGCACGAAATAGCTCTCTCGCACCTACTAAAAATTCGCTCATAAAAGTCTAATTTTAAGCTACTGCTGGCACTCTAGTGTATTTATCAACAAATTAGAGTGGTCTATGAAATGCCTAGAAGAGTCCGTTACGCGTGTAAAACGTCACCTTTTAATCAGCGCGATATTTTATGAAGAAGCAGCGATAGACACATGAGATTTCAGATCATGTCGGTGAACCAGAAAAAACTAGACATCAGCAGAGGATTCTTCTTCGATGGCGGACGACGTATTCTCGGAAGATGGGTTATTAAACTAGGATCGTAAATGTTTAACCCTTGGTAAACGAAAGAAATCTCGTAGTGCTCTTGGCTCCATCTTCTCCTTGGACGCGTTTATCCTAAATCGTACAACTTCTTTACGACGTTTCTTGTCATATCACGCAGGTCGAAAGACCTCACTGTAGCTACGCGAACGATAATAAAATTGCTTGTCTTACGGTCGTTAAAGTTTTAAGCGGGCTTTATGATTCGAGTGCGCCGGAAGTTTATACAACAATCCATTGTATAAACAATATACATGTATCTCACAGATATTCCAGGATAACGTCTAGTAAAAACGCCGCGCCGCGTTTGCAGCTATTGGCGATTCTCATCGAAGGTATCTCGCAATCGCGACGTCATACGCCGAGAGCAGAAACCTGCTCTCGTTGTCTCAAAGAGAAAGAGGCCGCCGAGAGACGTGGTACGAGGTGCCACGAAGAGGAGGATTTCGTGGTAACCATGAACGGCGTAAATCAAACGAAGGCTGCACTTGACTAGAAACACGGAGTAGCGGGAGGGTCGAAGGTCTATATATAGACGCCAGTGAGTCATTTGACGTTACTCGGGGTACGCGGAGCACTGTCAACAGTGTCTCTCAACCGTAGTGAAATGACGAAGAGAAAGAGAGAGAGAAAATACGCATCTCTCTCTCTCTCCTGTCGCGAGCACGCGACAGTCAACTGGGTGGTCCGAAATAAGATGGCTAGAAAGAGTCCGCCAGCTGGTCACGGCGGATCATGGTCAAATGAAGAGGATTAAAGTCAACGTCGTTAAGTCGGAGAGTAATGGCCGACCGACCGAGAAGCGACGCGCGGCTCGTCCTCGAGACGACCTCGGAGCGCGCCTCGAGAACGAATCTCTGGGCGAGATTTGGTGCATTCGTCTCCACGCGGGATTCCTCGATCGCAACTTATCATATTCCGCGGAAAGTCATCAAGCGAAACGATAAATCTCCGAAAAGTTTGTGTATTTATCCAAAGATATTTTCTCTCGATTGCGCAGCGAAATTCCGGATGAGTCTGTCCGAGATGAGTGCATCTCAAACAATCTTCATCCTCTCCCAATCTCGTCGATATGTATAGTTGATTGAAGAAAAGTTCGCACCAACGATTTCCGGTCTGAATTATCTAGCGATGTTGTAATCGCGATACGAAAAAGTTCGCGAAAAGTTACCGGGTACGAGTCTTCCGGGTTCGGAATCCATTTTTTATCATCGATCAAATTTTTATCCGACACAACGTCGATGATGCGTTCAAGGTTTCGTTAAACTTTATAACTTTCGGGACGGGGGAAAACATGTCGCTCGAGAGGCACATCGATCTTTCGAAGCACCAAGATTAGGTCGCTCGCTTTAGGTTTTAATCTGTCGACTTTCTCGTCGGACTCGCATGTTCAATGACAGAGAGAATCCCAAGAGGAGGGATATTCTCGTGTCTATTAAGAAGTTCCAGAGACGTCGTTTTCACGACAGCGACTCCGAAGGAACCAGCAGCCGAGTCATGCGTGATTGATCGTTTCCTCGGGTTCGACCGCGACTGGGAGATAGTGGATAGAAAGGGTGAGAAAGGAGAAGGTAGACAAGAGAAAAAGAGAAAGTGAGAGAGATAGAAAAAAAATCACTTACCATGGGGTCGTGGGGTAAGTGCATTGGGTAAGCTGGCTGCGCCAGGTGAGGGGGTGCATATCCACTGTATGGGGGTTGAACACCACCACCGCTACCCGTCCACGGATCCCCAGGACCGGTTCCTGCGGTATTGCCGTCTGTAACAAAAAAGGAACAGGATTCGATCAATCATGTGTCATCCGATTATTGCTCGTCGGGTATCCGAGATCTAAATAATCGATACATTTAAAATTAAGCACTCGTATCGGAAAAAAGAAGTTTCAAAAATGTCTCAACAACACAAACGCAATTATACGTATTTCATGGATTTTTGAAAATTTCTTTGTTTTTTAACGGAAAAGAATCGCTTTTATCATTTCTATAAAATTCTTCTTTTTCGCTTGATGTAATTGAATTATTATAAAATGCCGATAGAGAGGTTTGTCGATTATTGCTTTCTACATCATCGGAGCGGGAAATAACAAATAGTACGTGACGTTCGGTGAACAAAGAATATCGCGCACGTGGCCGAATAATGGGCGTCCAAATCGAGTTTAAAACGCATCGTTGCAACGCTTAATCAAATTTTTCGTCCGAGATAAAGAAGTAAAAGCGACGCATCGCACTCGCTTCATTATGTTTGTAAAATTTCAGTCAATTAAAACACGACTGCTTCGGCTTCGAAAACGCGGCGCGCCAAACTTCCTAATCAAGTAACGATGTCGTTCCTTCCCCGCAGTAATTATTTCGAGAACGAGTTCTCCCCCCCCTCCTCTTCCTCTATAAGCGATATGATACAACTTCGCTGGACTTTCGCCAAGTCGAAATTTTCGCGCTTTCTAACATCTCACTCGGAGCCTCGACGTCGTTTTGCGGTGAAGCACACACACCCGGTATAAGAGCCAATAGACGCGGTACCCGGCGCAGGCCATTATTTCAGTTGAAAACAACAGCAATAAGCTTCGGGAACGTATTTCTTGATACTTTTGCTTGATATAATTCCCGTACCGGGCGCTCCTCGACGAGAAAACGGAAACTAAGCCAAACTACTCGGGCGTTCCTACCAACTACCAGTGTTCGATGTCTGATAAAACTTTTTCGCTCCCTCCTCCTCCCCCCTCCTCCCCCTCGTCCCCCCGTAAGGGGGAGCCTCCCATTTATAAGCCATTCCGGTCAGCTACCGGGTGCCACGAGCGCCGACACATATTTCGAAAGCGTACTTAAACTGCTACTTTTCTCATCTGATCCATAATAACGAACCCTCGCGGTGAAAACTTTGCCGATTTTATAGATCTATCATCATTTAGATTAGCTTGAATATTTGAATATTTAAAAGCATGTGAAATTTTTTTTTCCGAACCTACTCATTTTATGTCTCCTCATAATTAGTTGCATTCCCTATATGTTTATTTCTTAATGTAATTTAGTTCACGACTTTTTTCTTTCTTCATCTTATTACGAAATATTAAACGTTTTTTTTATTTTTCTTTAAAATATTAAATTCGACATATTAATTGAATAATAAATTTTAATAATAATAATTTAATTCAGGTATACAATATTGTACGACTTTTTCATCACACAATTTGGACGTATATTCGCGAGACGCGGATCATGACGATGTTATACCGCATCTGTGTCGCGAGATGACAATTATTTTTGAAAGATCCGTTAATAATCTAACAAAATCGCGACTGCATCTCTCAAAGTTAAAAGCGCGCAGCTTCGATTAATGTGGATCATTCGGAGCGATTCGCGCGATTCACGATCAGGGGATCAATTTGGAGCGATAAATCGATATTAACGCGCGAAAAAGTATCACGTACATCAAAGGAAAGCGACTTTCCCCGTGAAAAATTATGAAGATAACGTTACTAAGATGCCGGGGAGCTTTAATAAGTGTCGTTATAACAACAAAGTAGCGCGTTTCGCAGCGAACGCCGGGAAATTGCTTTTATTGGCAATATCTCGTCGACAAAGTTTTCCGTGGAATTTTTTTCGACGTCGGCGTCGGATATACCCGCGAAATCCCAGCGACGAACTTGGGCGCCCCGCCGTGCCGGTTGAACAAATAACGAGATTGTTATTGTTTTTACGCGCGACAGGCAGAACGGCAAATTTTACGAGCGAACGTTAAACGGTTGAATATTAGCGCGCTCGTAAAATCCCTTTTATCGTCCATTCGGATCGTTATGCGATTTTCAAATGATATATACATATATATACACGCCTACATACATACGCGTATACGTATATATAGATGCGTTCATGCCGATGGCTACTGATTTCCAGATAACGATCGATATATCGAGCCTTCCGGAGTTTCCGGAGCCCCTCCCGCCGTTATCTCGTTTAATTATATCCACGTTGATATCGATTAGCAGATATATAAGTTAATAATCTATTCGATAATTACTTTCATAAAATTAGTAATCGAGATAACGCGCGAATCTGCTGTCACGCGCTTTATTTTCGTTATTATTTTCGTGATGCTTACTTATGTGCACAGAGAAAAATATATACTGTATTCAAGTAAAATATTATTTATTTTAAGTATATCATAAGTTTGTATATCCGCAAATATATTATAAGTTCACCACAAGCGTTAAATTTAATTGAATATATTCTGAATATATTCTGAATAGTAAGTGCAGTATTTTAGTTAAGAATATTAAATTAAGACAAAAATTTGGTTTGCTTACTACATGAGTTGGCGTAAAGTAAGTTTGATTTTTCTTTGATACAACTTTACAATATTCTTGAAAAGAAAATAATTTCTTCTTTTGAGTACATGATAATGAAATTTTCTAACACTTGTGATGAGTATAATTTAAGCTATTATCAAGAATATATTCTTTATTAAAGAAAACTATTACTTAAAAAAAGAAAAATAAATAGTTTTCTTTACTAAAGAAAACTATTATTAAAAAAAGAAAAATAAAAGGATAATATAAGGTAATCGCTTTTCTTGATAGTAGAATGATATTTTTCTCTGTGTGGAGAGCAACGATGATTCATAAAATATTTCACTTTTTTTTCTATCGAAATTATTCAAGAGATTAATCTGGATTTTTTAAATTTTCTATTAATATAAAGAAAATCGTTTCTTCCTCGCTTACCGATATAATAAGAGTCTGCGTAAAGGGCACCCTTTGGCGACGTGTATCTCGGCGAGTCCTGCCCAAATTCATCCGAGCCATACTGCAACAAATAATAGCAAGTGTTCATTATTAGGAGAATTAGGGGATTATAAAATTTGATCGAATTCAGTGGCAAATACAACGATAAATCGATGCGTTACTAAGAAAAGTGTACGCGACGATTGTATAATTTTCGTCGCGCCTTTTTGCGAGTCTTACAAACACCTACCATCGACTTGCACATTTCAGCATTTCAATTTCTGTAACAGTGAAAATTGCGCTATAATCGCGACAATTCGCCGACTATTGCCCAGACACGGAACTCCCAACTACCTCCGTTCTTACGACACCTTCGCGTATTGTATTATAGCGCATCCCCATCGATCTTACGATAGATCCAGTCGGCTATTACGACACCGATCGACCGACCAACCGATGTCGTGGCTCGTAGCGAGAACAGTCATTAATTCAGAGACGGCGGAGAGAAAATCGTACGGGAGGTACAGTACCGTTAAACGGCTACACGTACACACAAGTTATCCTTGCGCAATGCGAGCAATAAAAATCTAAGATTAGGTCGTCTTCCTCGATCCAATTAATGCCGTCAATCTTCATAGCGAAGACGAGCAGAAGGCAAAAACGTTCGCCGCGTCGTGATGACTCCATTTCTCGCGCGACAAACTTTAAAATTTTATCCGCCTTTTAAAGATCAATATGTAAATGGAAAGATGTCAACACACAAAGTCATCAAATATCAGAGTGTAAAATATATATATATATATATATATATATATATAAATTTGCAAATTTAACGCAATAAAAATAAGACCATGATACATTAATTATTGCTATCGGTACTAGAAATTGAAAAATCGTGACATATAAATTTGCATGCGAAACCGACGACGGACGCAAACGATAAAAAATTCAATGCTTAATCCGATAACGCGCTCCAATCATTTACATATAAAGAATTAAAGCTCAGTATCGCGAGATACCATCTGATGTATTCTGATTATTCAGCTATCATCCATCATCGTGAATACCGCGTTCTCCAATTTTGTATAAACCAGGAAAAAATTTTCCTCGACAGAGAGTCGCGGATCAAAAGCAAATTACACTATTACAAAACACATACACAATCGTGTTTCTAACTTCAAGTTGTACATCTATTTTATTTAGTTCCTGTCTCCTTTTTTGTCTCTATATATGTACTTTTATACCGGGATAAAATACAGAGTGCTATTTCTCTCCGAGGAGGGAGAAAGAACAAGATATGAACGAGAGTGTGCATGCGACATGAATGAATATCTATCGATCGTTCCAAAGGGATGTGGACATAATCGAGGAACCTCGCATTTTCGGTAAATTTACCGTCTTATAGTTGCCGTAGTCCGTGGGATAGACAAACATGTTGGCAGTGGGATCATGCGCGCTGATTCGACGATACAGCAACTCCGTCACGCGCGGATCACATACGGGGCAACATACCACCACCGATGACAAAGGCACGCCGCCGATTCAGCGACGAGAGGAGAGATGTTGCCGCGCGAGGAGAAACAGCCGGCGGAGAAGAGATAGCGGTCCCCGCTTCTCTCTCTCTATCGCGCGATGTACGAGCCCCCCCGTTCCAATTTCATCATGATATATGTTAAAATATTCCACGACGCCGCTCTTGCCTTATCCGCTTTGCGCCGCGTCGAAAACTTTCGTTCGCGATGGCCTCTCTTCCACCCTCGTTTCGCCTCTCCTTCTCCTTCTCTCCCTTCGCCTCTCCTCCAACACGTTGAAAAGTATCTCGCGCTCGTTCGCGGGCTGGCAAGAGGTAGGGAGAATAAACTTGGTCCGCTAACGCGAGGACTATGGGGCGCCAGGCCGAAATTTAACGCCTTCCCGGGGCCATGAAAGAATCGTACAACTTCGCCGGAGGAAACTTGGCAAGTTCCGCGTCTACGTCGCGGCGGAGTATCGCTCGGGACTCGGCGGTAGGTCGAATATGGATCCGGGGAGACGGAAGGGCGGGAGGAGACTCGCGGCGACGTAAACGACTCCGAGCGATGCGGCTGACTACGCGCGACTGCCGAGCGCGGATGTCGTGTCGCGCGTGTTCGCCAGCGCCGATCGAGAGCGAGCGGCTTCGAGGTGGGAGCGACGCGTGGCCCAATCGTCGTCGCGGCGCTGACAGAAGTTCCTCTTCTCGCGAGAGAAGCTACGCCAACCTCGTGGTATCCGAACTGTCGCATGGGACGGATGTCCGACGAGTTCGCCAGGCGGCGAAAACGCGAGAGAAAAGCCTCTCTCGTCGTACGAGTTACGTTTCATCGTGTTTTCGATCGAGAACAGAGACGTTAACGTTAGATCGTATTAGCCGCCAATCATAAATGCTTGCTCGAATGGAATATACTGCCCCAATTTTATTGCTTTTCGTTTGCGTGAAATAAAAATAGATGGAGAAAGAATGTTGATGTGAAAAATGAAATCGTTCTTGAAAGCGTAGGCTTGATGTATTCGGAGAGATAGAAGCGAGGAGTAATCGCGGCGCCTGATAAAAGTATCGGGTTTTATCAGCCAAGCCGATAACAACTTTACAATAAATAAGAATATTTCTCTGATCGGGAGAGAAAGGATTAAAAATGGTACTAATTGAGTAATAAGTTTCGCTGTACGATCTCTAGACATATTAATTTAAATGAATTGCTTTGACACCCGTGGTCGACCTCGATATTTTGACAGTGACTAATATTGTATCTCACATCTTCTCTTCTTTTCTCTCTCTTATCTCTTTTATTCCCAAAGGAGAAAAAAATAAGATCGATTCAAAATGAATTGATAAAAGTTTTGATATTAATGAACAAGAAGACAGCAAAATATGCAACAAAAATAATATATCTCTCACAAAAAAAAAAATTTAGTATATTTTAATCGCATTTTCAGTTCGATTTAACTGCTATAGAATTTACTTGAATCTTTCAATTAATCATAGAACCGCGAAACACCAACTTGCATCGACCGAGCAAAAATGTTTACTAAGCGTATCGCGCGCAAGACATCGTTCGATATTCACGAGCCGACATCGCTAAACGGGCCATTAAATTATTCACCGAAAACCGTAACGCGCGGTCACTTTAACCCGGACCCGTGGACCAGAGCGCGCAGACACCGCGTGGACAATAATTCACGTTTTATTTCCTCCTCGTGCGACAGGACATGCAGGAAAGAAAAGGACACGCAATGATAAAAATGTCGCCGCGGCGGATCAGAAATCTTAATATGTCCCGATCGGTCGGCTTGTCCACGGTGGTCCCCGTGGAGAGTCAGCGATTTCCAACCAATATAAATGTCCTACATTGATTTAGTTCTCCCTTTCGCCGCCCCTCACCTTACGATTCACGGGAGATATCGAAAGGAGGGGAGGGATGGGGGATAGAAGAGAGAGATAGAGACGCGGGATGATCGGAGATGCGAGGGAACTGGAACGGAAATGTCTCTGTCAGGGAAATTAACCTCCGAGGATCTGAAATAAGACAGAAGGAAGGGTACGGCACCACCTCCCCTCGCGAGATGGATGTTATGAAACCTTCGGAAAATTGAGCACGCGATGGCCATCTCGTGTTCTCGATCAACCGCGTCGTCATCTTCGTCGTCCATCTCTTTCCTATATCAAGAGTTCGTAGATTCTACATCCATGACCGTGATTCACAGCTCGCCTACTCGCTTGACCTGCGTTTAACCTAATACGAGACCAATTTGCAAACTGACTTTAATTATTGTAATACGTTATTTTTATAACTGTGGAAGGCGAGACATGATGTTTATACGTGAAAACACATCTAGTTAAAATAATAATAATTGATAAAAATAATCCTCAAGATAAACTCTATATAATAATAATAATTGTTTGATGCTAGAGTTAAAGCACATGATTGTATCAAGTGTGTTAAGTATTCTAAAATAGACGAACGTGATTTCTTTCCCCATATTTTTTCTCGCTCTTTCCTATCACGGTTATTTAAAAAGTGGACGAGTCAATTAAAAGTTGTTAAGCCTAGTAAATTTCGAGATTCATAAGTTTGTGGATATTGTATAAAATACTTTCAGTCTTTTAAAACAAAATTAGTAATTAGTAATTAGTAATCAATTTGTGAATTAAAATAAAAATTTGTCCTGAATATAAAAAATATAATTTAATCCCAAAATCGTAAATATTATCTTACATTAGATTAATTTTTTTATAGTAACTGTGCCATGAAAATTTTATAATGATGTGTACAAAAATTCATGAAAATAAAAATTTTAATTCTACAGGGCAAATCTTTATTTTAATTCAACACAAATTAATTATCGATTTTATATTTTAAAAGACTCTAAAATTGTTTTACAAAATGTCAAATTCATGAATCTCGAAATGTATTAGGTTTATTAATTTTTAATGTAGATGAGCCGTCCAATTCCTCCCTAAGTACACGTGGACGGAAATGAGCTTGAGGATAGTCAAACGACACGGGGAGAGAGAAAGAAAAAAGGAAAGACAGTGAAAAGCGGAGAGTCACTATCAACGAGATAATGGATCGTCGATTATTCCCTTATTAATTACTATGGGAGACGTTTGCTTGTCGAGTAGCAAGTAGACGAAACCAGGTGTCTCGTAACGAATTTTTTCCTTTTCTCATCGAGCCCCCGGATCCTGGGAATTCCCATAGAGCATTATTTATATTACCTTCCCATGAAATATTTTTGAAAACGTCATCATCATCAGTCGATCTCTCGTCTCGTGGAGAATGATGTAGAAAACATTATAGAAATGAATCGATCGACTTGCCGTCGACCTCTACTATTTTTCGGAACCAGATTTATTACTTTGCGCGCCTCGGACGCCTCGATAATAAATCCATACGTAATTGGCGAATCGATAAGTCTTATCAGTCGCGAGGCAGTTTATTCGTCACGCTACTCGTCATTTTTTTTTCCTTTGTCGGCGTAATGCGTTAATGGCGAGGCATTTGTGTAAAAAATAAAATAAATAAATAAATAAATGCAACGGTCTGCGTAGTTAATGGGCCT